CCCCCCCCCCCCCCCCCCCCCCCCCCCCCCCCCCAGATGTGTCCCCCCCATTTTTCCGTTTTAAGAGCTTAAAAAAAAAAAAAAAAAAAAAAAGGTTGAGGTTGTTAAATCTTCCTCATTTGTGTTGTTTTAAGCCACTGACTTTGTGGTTTTTTGTTACGGCATTATGAAGAAATTAATACAGATACTTTTTTTCCCCCCTTGACTGGGAGACATAAAAGGCAGGTGTTATTAATTGTTGTACTTGTTACATACATGCCTTGCCAAATGCAGTAGAGTGATAGAGAATTAGGCTATAGTATGAATAATAATGTGTTTAATAAATAAATATATATATATAAATTACTTTTATATGTAATACTTCTCTTTTAACATATTTTTACTGCAATGATCAGCCAAATCTATGAAAGTCAAGTTTAAATTCAAGAGGGATAAATCCTCATTTTATTTAATGGTTGGGAATTCTGCAATTTGTCTAGCAAAAACAATAAGAAATGACTTACCTCTCTTCTTCATTACTTTTATTTTTGGCTTAAATTCACAAGAAAGTGTTCTAATATGTCAACCAATATTTATTAAACGCTCATTTCATGCAAAACATGAATCTGGGCACATCTTGCCATTTTATTTTCCATAAATAGGTTTCCTGTCTTTTCTTTGGATTCATTTGTAATAAGATATCCCCTGGCACCCCAAGCAAATTGTGAATTAATTCTCACTCATGCTTTCTAACCCTCACCTCTCAGCACTCTGCGTATTTTAAGTAATAAGTAAATAAGATGAAAGTTTGAAATCCAAGGCATTTGCTTTCTACCTTTAATCTTTCATGCTGAGAATCATGAGCCCATGTTATCTTAACTCTTACATTGGCCTGACTTTAGATTTGTAGTCATCAATGTTAGGTCAGCGAGACAAACAGAAGACTCCGAGTCAAACTTTATCAAGCAGGGGAGTTTACTCTAGTGAACCTGGAAGGGAAATGCTCTCATACAGATTAGCAGGCTCTTTATAGGGTTTGTCTAGGAGGGGGTTGGGCAACTATTCTGAGCACTCAACTTAAACAAGATTTTCTTATCTCAATGCACTAGCCTTGAGGGAAAGGGAGGGGGTAGGGACATAGGGTTAGGGAGAAGTCAACATGCTGTGTTTATGCTGAGTTGATTGTGAGGCATAACAATCAACAATAAATAGTTGAATTTAGCAACAACAAAAAAAGTATGTGTGTCTGTGTGTGTGTTTTCATTTGCAAAGAAATTCTTAATTCTCTGTGAATTAGTTTAATAAGGACATGAGTGTTATAAAACAAATTCAGCTTTCCTAAAGCTCACGAATTGTAGGTTTTAGGCTAAAAGACTTATGCAAAGATATGAGATCATATGAGGCTTTTTGAATCTTTGAGGCTTTTTGAGGCTTTTTGAACAGGTAATACTGTTCTCCTATCGTGGATCAGAAAACCAATACGACTTATTTTGTACTGGGTATTCTCACTAAAGAAACAAAAACAAACAAGGAAGTAAGTAAATAAATAATTATATGAATTAATAAGTATAATAAAGCAATAATAAACTTTGTTTTAAAAGATTATAAGATAAAATTTATTGTTTTAATAATAATACTCATTTAAATAAATTATTGGGCAATTTGAACATTTACTTTTAAATATAAGTTATTTAATATCTTTTGCATCCTTTGCTTACTTTTGTTTTGTTTGCTTTTGATAAATTCAGAACAATTTTCATAATACCCCCCAGTCACCAAAAATTTAATCTAAAAACTTCCTTATTGAGGTAGGGAACGGAAGACAGTTTTGGTTTTGTACACAATTTTCAAAAGGAGAAATTGCACAATTTAATTAGAAATTAGCTCTGAACTCCATTCTATGTTCTGTAGACTAAAGCTTAGATACAGCCTGAGTAGGAAGCTTTTTTTATTTTTTTAATTGAAACATAATTAGTTGTACATATCTGTGGGGTGCAGTGCTGAATATCAGTACCTATGTGTAATATGTGATACTCAAATTGGAATAATTAGTATATTCAACATTGCACAATATAATCATTTTTTTGTGGCCCTTTAGCAATTTCTGGCTAACCCCCCTCCCACTTTCTCACCTCTGGTAACCTCAGCTCTGTTCTCTCCTTTTGAAAATTCAATGTATTATTGTGATTGTTATATATTTCATCTTTCTTTTCTTTTTAATTTATTTGTTTTTTAGCTCCTTCCTATGAGTGAGGACATGGGGTATTTCTCTTTCTGTGCCTGGTTTACTTGAATACACACTTTGGCCATGACAAGTTTCCTGAAATGACTTTCTCTTTATGGGGACTGACTTGTTTTTATGCAACTGCTAGAGGTTTTGTTCAACATGTCAGATTGCCAAAATTTAGTTTTTTCAATCATAAAATGTAATGTCAATCCTTATTCAGTATTATATTTATAATATGTATACATTTATAAAAATAGTACATAACATGTTGGTGACAAATATTCCCAAAGCATATGTTTAAAAAAATCACTTAACTCATCTAGATGTGTAATCTTGCATCACTAGGATTAGAAAATCTAAACTACTAATAACAATTAATATATTTTCAGCACTAACTGTACACTTGTAGGATATTGTGCTAAGTCCTTTATATGCATCATCTCATTCGCTCCTCAAATCAACTTAGATATATATGAGATATTGGATCTGTGTGTGTGTGTGTGTGTCTGTGTGTGTGTGTGTGTGTCTGTGTCTGTGTAAAAAGTGAGGCCTAAGAAGTTACTTATCCAAGTTCATTGACACAGTATACAACTGAGAAAGGGTTGAAATCTGTCAGATGCATTCCTGGGTCTGTGTTTAATTCTCTCCCTACATTCCCCAACTCCCGTTTTTTTTTTTGTTTGTTTGTTTTAATTCCTCTTATTTCTTGTGGTCTTGCTGATGGTTAGCTCTTCATTTGGTTATTTTGTCTACTTTCTTACCCTATAAGCCCTTGTCCATCTTCCCCGCTCACTAGTTTCAGCACAAATCGAACATTCTATCCTGCTTTGTCCTCTGGTACTTATGAACATTTTATTTGTGTCCTGACTTTAGGTTTTGGATGGACAGACTTTTCTTAGTCCCAATTTCTTCCTTTGTCTCCATGTTCCAATATTTAGAGAGATTGAATTTGAATGCATTGCATTTGTCCTCAGTCGTGTGGGAGCTAAAAAACAAGAACAACAACAACAAAACAAATAAATAAAAAAAGAAAGAAAAATACAACAATCACAATAATTTGTTGAACTTTTAAATGTAGAGAACAGAATTGAGGCCACCAGAAGTGGGTAGGGTTGGGGGGTAGTGAGAAATTGGTAAAGAGCCACAATTATATTGTATTTACATTAGTGTAACATTTAATATACTAATTATCCTGATTTGAACATCACATATTGCACACAGATGTTGATATTCAATGCTGTACCCAACAGATATATACAATCAACTATGTTTCAAACAAACAAACAAACAAACAAAACCAGAAAAAAATGATAAATTAAAAATAAAAAATAAAAACCTGGCATATTAGATCTCCCACACAGTGGTAACAGTT